TGTTTAGTTTTTCGTGTAAACGTACTATCCAGGGAAATTTATGAAAAACATCTTTTAGACCTGTTTCGGTAGGAGTTTGACGCTGAACCTGAATTTGGCGAGTCACAAAATGTTGACTTCCCATTCTGATCTATTTACCTGAAATAATTAGGGACACCCCCGCCTTTAAGTCAGAAACAGATATTTACATCAAAATCTCCACTACCGTCATCGTAAAACCTGGTACCTATTCACGAGATGACAAAGCGTCAGAATTACGATTCGGATCTCGATTTGCGTCCCGACGAATACCCATTAGAAGTTTGAGAACCACATTTGTCCTGTACACAAGCCATGTGTTGGGGAGAGTTTTATTAAAGTTCATTCTTTCGGCGCATTTCGGACAAAGGGGTTCTACAACTTGGACAAGAAATTTAACATATGTGCGTATTGTTGTGTTTGATTGGTTCAACAGCAGGGGTTTCTTCTATAGTGTAAAACTGGAGGCGGATTATAGGTGACTAGAGTCTTAGTCCAAATTAGTGCGTCCATCGAACTGCCGCATGCTCCTTAAACTGAACTACAGCACACCTATCTATTTTACATTAAAATTTTTTTCGTTTTGTGCTTGAAAATTCTTGTGATATTATTCGTAGATTTTTTGTTATTCTTCTTTATATCATTTTTTTTCCGTCCGTATTATAACTTTATCTTGCCTTAGTTTATACACATCATTATTTTGTCTATAGGAAGTTTGGTAACACTGTATAGACATTAAAACACACAGGGACGACGTCCTACGGAAGTCGGGACCGACCGCAATGAGCCTGGCGGACCTCGTCGGGCCACCCAAAGGTCGACCTGCCGGTAGGGTCTCTCTCGGGGCAGACGATGTGGGAGTTGTCACCGATTATGTCCATGCTGCATCCGGTAATAGTTTCTGGGGTAGGGAGAGGGGGTCGTTTTGTTTGACAAGACACACGGACGGTCCTCGTCCTATTGGTGCGTCTTGAGTCTCGTAAAAGTAGGGTGTCCGTATATACGATGCGCAGGTGGGTGATGCCCTGCTGCATGGGCACACTGGCGTCGTATTCTCGACAACTTGTGGACTCAAACTTTTCTTGTAGGTAGACAAAATGCGTTCATCGTGGTAATAAATAGATGTTATAGTATAAGCGTTAGTTGAACATCTGAGAGGAACGATGATAAAGATAAGTAAAATAAAACATAACAAACATGATGATAGACATAGCACAATTAACACAACGAGACAACCTCCTCTGGAGTCTACAAGCTGATCGTGACATCCGAGACTTGTGTACTGTTATTTCGGCACTTAGACTTAGAACTTAGAAATTCGATCCTTCCTCATAAAATTGTTAAGTCTAAATCTACGGTTTCAAATAGTAGGTATACCGAGTTTCCGATGTCACATCTTACCGCCGACTTTAAGAACGACTGGGCACGACGAGGTCGTTACGTTGTATTATATTTTATTTTTCATCCCTTTTCAGATATTTGTACTTTATACGTATTAACATGTCTATACGTCTACCTTTACATGTAATTCTGTTTTAATTTATCGCCAAAATTATGAAATGACATTTTCTTAAAACGCTGAAGAATGCGAAGTCAGGACTGTAACAACAACAACAAGGGAGAGAAGGAGGGTCTCTGAGGTGTTTGGACAGGCTTCGTCGGGGGGGGAGCGGGTCCGCCACCCGGGTCTCGGCCGCGTCACGGAGGAGGTAGTACCGGTGCAGTGGCCGTGCCTACGGACGCGGAAGCCGGAGACCTGCTAATGCGAAACAAGAAAAAACAAACAACTAGAAAAAAAATACCGTGGATTTCCGGGGTACGAATTTGTCGTTTGTGTGTGTGTGTCGTGTGTGTGTGTGTGTGTGGTGTGTGTGTGTGTGTGTGGTGTGTGTGTGGTGTGTGTGTGTCGTGTGTCGTGTGTCTTGGTGTGTGTGTGGGTGTGTGTGTCAGACTCCTTGACAGGTCGTTTTGCGGAGGAAGGTGGAGGAGGTAGTCACTTAGGCATATTCGAGGCTAGTTTTTTTCATCACTTTCAAGTGAGCGAAGACGAGCGGGCGACTCCTGGACCTCTGCAAAGACCCGTCACACAAAATCTAACGATTGTGTAGCATGTAAATTTTTTGTTTTTTGTAGGGGAAAGCGTAGGGCAGTTATACTTTTTTTGTGAGCGTTTGTTTGGGGAGAAGCGGAGGAGGACGTTCCGACGCGAGACTGACTGGGCCACACTTTCGGATAATTTTCCCATCGGGCTGACCTTTTTTTGAGGGACATATCGTTTGGCTGGCTGGCTGACTGACTTGTTTTTTTCTTTGGGGGACCAGTTTGTCTTCATCTTTGCTGCTCACCAGCGGACCATTGGGTCCATGTGTGTGCGCCGTGTATATTGTGCGGTGTGTGTATATATTGTTGTACCGTGTGTGTGTGTGTGTGTCGTGTGTGTGTGTGTGTGTGTGTGTGTGTCGTGTGTGTGGTGTGTGTGGTAATATATATATGATATGCGTAGTTGTGTGTTGTGGTGTGTGTGTATGATATATATGGTGTTGTGCGATGTCCGACTACGACTTTGTCCTTGCCTTTTATTGGTAGAGGTAACTAGGGCGCAGTTGAATTCCGAGGTAATCCTATAGTATTTAGGGGGGAAAGAGGGGGAAAGAGGGGAAAGTGGTGAAGGGTGAGTGAGTCCTGTAATAGCCTCTAAGACACACCGGGCGTACCACCTGAGCCCTGAAACTTCTTCGGCCTCTCTTAGGACGTCAGGACTTGAGGACAAAAATTTATAGACAAACAAAAGTACTCGTTTAAACGCCCCACCACCCCCCCTACCAATGGACCGAGAACAAATATCCAAAAAGGTCCAATGTGCCGTAGCGCGTTCTGATAATTAATAAGAGAAGAATTAATAGTAATATAAATTAATAACAATGACGTAAGTGTCATATAAACAACTCCGCGGTCGTTCTTCGTTCAAGGTCAATGATATTATTTTCCAGCGCGCTACGTAGCTAAGTGCGTCACACATGTACAATTTCGTCAATATATACCTTAAGATTGGTTTAGCCTTAATATCGAGTTATCTCACTCTATAAATCAATAAGTTTACTTTGCCTTTAAGCAACTTTTTGTTTTTTTCGGGGTTAATAAAAATTAACGAAACATGGGCTGTAGTCACTGGGACTTCGCAGCTCAAGATCAGCGGCGAAGAAAACAGGGGCCCAAGGATACGTCCCCTTGTTAATATCGTAGGACTGGTAAAGTTCCAGAAATCTATAATGTACAATGAACAATCTATTACCTTTCGTTTGAATTTGATTATTCCTATAGACCTGAAATTATAATTCGACAAAAACAAAGATCCCATTCATTACAGAAATGGAGTCGGATCGATACGTAAAATCATTTTGGCGAGGATTTTGAAAAGACCTAAAACGGCTCGCGGGGGTCAGTCCTTGGTAAACGCTACTGGAGACTGGCGGGGCAAAAATGAGCATTTAGGGGCGCGACGTGGTCGTCAACTACCGTTTGCACAATTAGAAATTACAACGCATAGCTACAGATTTACTGCGATTTGCAACATGTGTCCCCGGTGCGTCAGGGAACTCACGCAGTGTCAGAAAATAAAACCCTCTCTTTTCCTCCGTACCCAAATCTCTAAAAACGGGGGAACAACGGAGCTGATCCAGATTTGCGTCCGATGTGACGTAATATCTGTGACCTGCTCCATCGAAATCAGTTTTCATCCTTTTCTCTGGAATCCATCGATCTGATTGATTATTAGCGGAGCAAATGATCAAAGTACTACGGAGGGAAGATATTTTGGATTACTGGTCTGGGGGGAGCTCGCGAGTGTGTGTGTGTATACACACACACACACACACACACACACACGTGTGTGTTTGTGTATGTTTGCATTTGTGTGTATTGTGTTTGTTTCCCGGGGAAAACACTCACGAGAAACACCGGCTGTTGTTATGCCTGCTGTGACGTTCAGTTACTCCGTTCTCCGCTTGTAATTATGCCAAAGCTTCAAAGTTGTATTTATCATCTGAATTTCCCGAAACAAGTTTAATATTCTGAAAACCGAGACTTTTTTTATTTGAAGTCAGATGAAAACAAACTGTAACGGACCCTGCCGTGTTATATATGATTACTATACACCTTACATTCATAATTTCAGCAGAGGGAGGGGGGGCGGCGCTGCGGAACAGCAGAGTGGCGAGTGAGAGCTGTCATCTTCCCTTTACAAGCTTCGTGTGATTTTGGAAATAAAAGTTTCATATTCTGAAAGCCAAGGCTTTGTTTAGTTAAAATCAAACAAAACACCCGAAAAACTATTATTTTACGCAAATCCACGTTTATTTTGAAATGAGCCGTTGCGACTTCCGACTGATTTCGATATCGATGTGCGGGTCACATATGGTCTGTGTTTACATTAGCATCGCTAACACTCAGAGCTAACCTGTACTGGAGATCATGTGTGTGAAGAAGCAGGAAGTAAAAAGGAACTCACCTTGTGGTATAACCGGCAAGAGAGAAAGCCTTTGAGCTCCATACTGTTTCAGAGATAATCCTTGATAATCCATGATATGGCGTTTCATCACGGCAGCATTTAGTTTAGACAGTAGCTGCCGGGTCCCGCATGAGCTCAGACCCCTCCTTTTTATTTATCAATTTTTTACTTTTTGTAAAGCTTTATACCCAAATCAGCACTTTTGAAACAGGAAGTGAAATAGAGGTATATGAGGCATGATTAGAATGGGTCATCTGTTTGGTATTTTGAGCAAAACACTTCGTAGACATGTTTTTATATATATCTGAGACTTATGCTATTGCCTACAAATAGCATGATAGGTGACCTTTAAATAAAAATATGATTTTGTTGAGTTGCATTGAACAAAAATGATGAGAATTTATTTAGTTTTTTGTCCGAATGTCTCAGTCTCAGCTGCTTCAGTTTTTATACATTTTTGTATTCCATTGCCACCTGAATCAAGTCATACTAATAACACTGTACCTCTATTTCAGTTAAGGTTGTTTAGGTTTCTTCAAAATGCTGTTCAACACATTATAGCTTGCCGTGTGTCAGTAAGAAAAGCACACGTTTTAAAGTGTATAATGAAACGTTAAAGACAGTCCTGACACCAACAGAAAAACAACCTCATGTAACGATCGTTTTCCACTGAGCGATTCCTGTTACCTTCAGCATCTTCTTGTTGGTGGAGTTCTTCCCACACTCGCGGCGCAGATGTTCGCTCATGCTCTGCAGCTCGCGGCCGAAGTGGATCATCCTCTCGATCGCCGCCTGGCTGCCACCGCACAGCTGCCTCTTCGACTGAGCCGACTCCACCTCTGCGGAACAGAATCATCTCATGTCCTTAAACATGTACAATGAAAGAAAGGAAAGCTTCTCCCTTTTAAAAAGTGCCATCAAAACAAAAACATCACAACAACAAACACACGCAGCAGCATACAAACTTACGTAAGAATAGAGTACAGTAATTATTTCCAGGGGTATAACAAAAAAATGTAATAAATAATAATAATAATAGCTATCGAGACATTCAACAGGGAACATATACAGCATTTAGATGGAGCGCTTACACTTATATGTGTAATGACAGGAAGGTAGTAGGGCTGTATATAAACACAACATGTATGTTTTCTACATTTCTTCTTTTTTTTTTTTAATGCTATTTTATTTCTATTGAGATGTTTACATTTTGGAATGTTTATTTCTAGTCTTTTAATTTTTATCGTACACTGCCATGTCTTTCTATGCTTTAGAGAGGGAATATATACAGCACAGGCACTTGGAGCGCGAGGGTAATAAAGCTGCCTGATTAATACAAATGTGAGTATGGTTCTGTGCAATATCCAAAATGCAGGAAGCACAACATCCGTTTGAGTCTAAATATGTGTTAAAATACATTTTGAAGGAAGTACTGTTGAGATTCAGAGATACCTAAAATCACGTTACAGAGACTTACCAAAACATAACTGTTGTTACAGATCCTCAAAAGTAAAACAATAAGTAATAACCTATTACTGCTAACGAGTAGAATAAGCCTAAAAGAGAGAGGCTAATTATGTATATATTTATACCAGTTTATTCTGTTTTCATTTGTATTCTTGCAGCTTTTTAATGACCATTTCAATTGTGTTTCTTTTGCTCTGTGTCTATTGCGGTTTCATTCCCTGATAGTCATGGGGGAAAAGGGAAGTAACAATAACCGTGAGAGCAAGCGAAAGAGGAGGCTGATTTGCCAAAGATGTTTGTGAATAAATCAAAAACAAAGAGGGCTCGTTAGCACATTTACTAAACAAACACATTTCTTACAGTAGAAAGCAACAAAACAAACAGTAACGTAGCAATTGCTTTTAATGTTGTTGTATTGGCTAAAATGTGCTTTATACATAAACGTACCTTTCCTTACCACTGGCATATTTACCCAGAATTATTGAAGTATGTATCCATGCTGATAAACGCTCTAATATATTAGTTATTAAATCCACACACACACTTTGCGTACCCATGTCTGCCTCACACTCGTCGGGCTCGGTCACGTGTTTGGAGCCGTTGAGGAACCCGTTGGAGGACGACTCTGTGACTCCGTTGGAGACGTGGTCCACCTCCATGTCCACATCGCTACTGAGGACAGACAGAGGGTTGTTATGGGCAACAGATCTCTACTAACCCTAATAAAGGAAGGATGAGTGGGGATATCATAGCGTCACTGAGGATTATAACCGTGAGTAATATCTCATGTCGAAAACTTTCCAGCAGACATGTTTGAAGTCAACCACTCACGCCTAGGTGTTCCTTTTTGTGTTGAATGTGTGTATTTCAAGTATAACTAACTGAGAAATAGTTGTTTTAAGTTACCCAACATTTCCTAATGATGCAGCTTCTCACTCACCTGTAAAAAGGTAAAGGGTGGATGGTTATATTGTTTGTCCAACTTAAGACTGTTGTTTGGACGGAGAGCTTTGGTCAGTATTATATTAAACTCACATGCCATCTCTTTGCATTGACATGCTTTGTACAATAGTCTCATTTATACACCATCCTTTGTTTGTATTTAAGCTTTAGCCGTTATATTATAATGTATTCTAACGTATTTCCTAACATGTTATATTGAGTATTCTTAGATTATATAGATATACATTTATAGTGTTGATTTCTATATATTTACTGTGTCTTTTTTCTGTTCCATACCACGAAAACCTGCTGCTGTTGCAAACAGGATCATTTCCTAAATTGGGATCAATACAGTACTGCTAGCTACCTATATATCTCTATCTCTTGTAGACTACAGCAGTTTTCCTACATTATCATATAGGAGTTTATCCTCTCAGAATATCTGCAGAGTTTAGAGTCAGTCAGATTTAAATTATTCTTGTTTCTCACAGTAATATATTTATGTAGATTTATACCCTTGAAGTGAATGTGGATTTAAGTTTCCTGTGTGGGCGTTGCAGTGTCTGAGGGGTTTAATAACAATAGAGCATGAATAAGCACATTTGTGTGTGTGTGTGTGTGTGTGTGTGTGTGTGTGTGTGTGTGTGTGTGTGTGTGTGTGTGTGTGTGTGTGTGTGTGTGTGTGTGTGTGTGTGTGGTGTGTGTACCTGGAACCTCCTCATGTCTCGGGGGTTCCCGGCGTTCTTCAGACAGTTCTGGTTACACTTGAGGAAGAACTTGAGGAAGAACCTAGAGGGACAGAAACATATGTATTATTATCATAAACATCAGCAGGAGAGGACTCTTTAAAGTAGAGACACTACATACTGATATACACCTGAACATCAGCAGGAGAGGACTCTTTAATGTCTCTACTTTAAAGAGTCCTCTCCTGCTGATGTTTATGATAATAATACATANACCAGATTGATGCTTTTAACTTCAACATAAAAAAAAAACGTGCATACGTGAGTCATGGAGTGGCCTAGCCAGTCTCCAGATCTCAACCCCATAGAAAATCTTTGGAGGGAGTTGAAAGTCCGTGTTGCCCAGCGACAGCCCCAAAACATCACTGCTCTAGAGGAGATCTGCATGGAGGAATGGGCCAAAATACCAGCAACAGTGTGTGAAAACCTTGTGAAGACTTACAGAAAACGTTTGACCTCTGTCATTGCCAACAAAGGGTATATAACAAAGTATTGAGATGAGCTTTTATTATTGACCAAATACTTATTTTACACCATAATTTGCAAATAAAGTCTTTAAAAATCTGACAATGTGGTTTTCTGGATTTTTCTTTTCTTTTTTTTCTCATTTTGTCTCTCATAGTTGAGGTATACCTAGGATGAAAATTACAGGCCTCTCATCTTTTTAAGTGGGAGAACTTGCACAATTGGTGGCTTACTAAATACTTTTTTGCCCCACTGTACAACTGCAACGAAAGTAACAAACTGGATAACTGGATGGCCTACCTGCCTGTCAGCCTTCCATCTGTGCACAAACTTATCTCGTGCCCTCATTGGTCATGTGCGCGTTCGTGTGTGTTGGAGGAGGGGCTCTGAAGATTTTTTTCCGGCTGCGTACTTTCAAATTCTAGTGCACTCGAGCTGGTTTCGCCATCCTTACCTACCCTACCTTTAATAAATGCTCGTATCTGTTGAGTGTAAATGCTCTAAAGATCTCCCTTGCTGTGTCTAATCCCAGAGTCTGTCTTGTCTCTTCAGGATGGTGGCTTCCTACCTGGTTCATCACAGCTACTGCGCCACGGCTGAAGCTTTCGCTAAATCCACAGACCAGGCCGTGCACGAGGAGCTGGCCTCCATCAAAAACAGACAGAGTGAGTCCTCATGAATGATGCTTCTAACGGGTTCAACACAGGAACCAGAAACTCTCTAATCTGAAAGGAAGTCGAAAGCTTGACCGCTAAAAGCAAGGGGCTGGATGTAGATCAACGCTCACACTTGTCGTCTCAAATGATCATATAATCAATTCTAACATATAGTCTTATACTCTGTTAACTTGTGTTGTAAGTGTTTAACAGAGACAGATGTTAAGGATTTACATTTCAGGAGAGCACAAGGAAGAGTAAAGGGGGTTTTCTGGTTTGATGATGGGATGGAGGAGCAGCTGTTTCCTCTCATGAATATACAGAGAGACTGTCAGCAGGACTTCTCTCTCCTCTGAGGGTGAAGCTGCTCTGTTCCTGCATTAGAGATCCATTTCACTTGAATATTGATTTTAGTTATATACGAAATGTTGAGAAATATCCTCATTAAATGAAACATGTCTGCACAGCACACACAGTGTTTTAAGTCTCACCTCTGATGCTCCCTGTCGCCGTGCAGAGATCCAGAAGCTGGTGTTGTCAGGCAGAATGGGCGAGGCCATCGAGACCACCACGCAGCTGTACCCCACCCTGCTGGAGAGGAACCCCGACCTGCTCTTCATGCTCAAGTACAACCCCCCCGCTGACTCAAAATGTTGTTGTTCTTCACATTTTATTGAATCAAATCACCTATTATATATTATATACGCCTGTTGTTACTGGAAGATCATCAGAAGCCTGTTATTACTTAAAACAAACTAAGATATTGACGGTTTTTCAACAAATTCCTGAAGATTATCGTTCAAAAAGTTAATGGTGCACTTCTTGTGGCATCTTTGGCTTTTATTGAAACTCTTCAATACTTTAAAGCAGTGATTGTGATTTAAGCATCAATATTGAAAAGTAATATTTAAAGAAATGATGAAAATAAAGTGAACTTAATGAATCTGGAAGAGGGGAGATTAAGTTATTTTACCGCCGTTATATACCGTATTTAGCTTTTTCTATAACCTGACCTGTCTTTAAACCATAATATTCAGATTATTTAATGACTCTTTTTTTTCTGTTTTCTCTACTTCTTTTCATTGTCTCCTTCCCATCTGTTGTCTTTTCTGTTTTTCCTGTTTACTCATTGTTTCTTTTCGTCTGTATTTCCATCTTCTCTCCTTCTTCCTCCGTCTCTCTCTCTCTCCCTTCCCTTCTCCCCCTCAGAGTGAGACAGTTCATAGAGATGGTGAACGGGACGGACAGTGAGGTGAGATGTCTGGGGGGTCGCAGCCCAAAGTCTCAGGACATTTACCCCGCCTCCCCCCGGCCCTTCAGCCCGAGCCACAAAGCCAGCGGCTCCCTGCCAGGTACACAGATACATACATACATATATTCTTCTCCATGTTACACACTGACAACGATTACCTTTTTACAGCCGAGTTTCTGTATCTGGAAAAGTGTTTAGTCTGAGCAGCTTGAACACTAATGGTATCTGTGCACGGCATGAAGAGTTATCTTTAGGTCATTCGTTTATCACAGTCTTCTATTTGTGAGCACTTTAGTTCATCGTGAACACTTTAGTTCATCGTGAGCACTTTCGTTCATCGTGAACACTTTAGTTCATCGTGAGCACTTTAGTTCATCGTGAGCACTTTAGTTCATCGTGAGCACTTTAGTTCATCGTGAGCACTTTAGTTCATCGTGAACACTTTAGTTCATCGTGAGCACTTTAGTTCATCGTGAGCACTTTAGTTCATCGTGAACACTTTAGTTCATCGTGAGCACTTTAGTTCATCGTGAGCACTTTAGTTCATCGTGAACACTTTAGTTCATCGTGAACACTTTAGTTCATCGTGAACACTTTAGTTCATCGTGAACACTTTAGTTCATCGTGAACACTTTAGTTCATCGTGAGCACTTTAGTTCATCGTGAACACTTTAGTTCATCGTGAACACTTTAGTTCATCTTGAGAATGTGCCAGATGTTTCCATGGCAGGTTGATAGCATTATAAGAAAAACAAATAAGAACACATAGGATAAGAGAAAAACAACACAGTGACACAGATCAGTCCCTAAAAAGCAAGTAGCATCAACAATACTTGACTGTTATTATTTCCATGATTTTAGAAGTCAAGCACAATTTAATAATAAAGTTGAACCACAAATAAAATAAAAACGTAACCAGTGTTTAACCGTTTCACGGTTAGGCGTCACAAATTCATTCTTTGCTGTAAATAGAGCTGCACCTTTTTAAAATAGGAAACACATGAATCTGGTTTAGTTGCGGAGGTCATTAGTGTAAAGCAGAGCCTTCTTGATATAAATCAAATCAGTAAAAACTTTATTTATATAGAACCTTTCTTACACAAAAAGGTTAGGGATGGTAGGCTTCACAAAACTAAAACTAAAACAGTCCATTGACAAAGCATAGAACACGTGACTTTGTGATTGAAAAACACATTAAATAGCAATAGAAGTAAGACAGGACTCAATAAAACAAGAATAACATTTCATTAAAAGTCAAATAACTGCTTCTTTTTGTTGTAACATTTTGTGGCTTTTGAGAAATGAAAATAAAAGTAACATTTGAAACACGTCCCTCTCTCCCCTGTTGTGTTCAGGGTCCGACGGCACCTGCTGTAATGGAGTGACGTCCAATAAGAGCCACAGCACCCCCCCTCACAGTCACAAGCCCTGCCCCCCCGCCTCACCCCCNACCTGTGCAATAATCATGCTGTCTAATCAGCATCTTGATATGCCACGCCTGTGAGGTGGGATGGATTATCTCAGCAAAGGAGAAGTGCTCACTATCAGATTTTTTTCAGATTTGTGAACAATATTTGAGAGAAATGGTTATTTTGTGTATATAGAAAATGTTTTAGATCTTTGAGTTCATCTCATGAAAAATGGGAGCAAAAACAAAAGTGTTGCGTTTATATTTTTGTTCAGTGTATATATGTAGGTGTCAGACTGTTGACCAAACAAAACAGACGGTTAAAAACTTCCCCTAAGACTCCTCAAAAAATCCTTAAAGATCAAGGATGTAGTACATTTTTTCAGAAAATAATAGCAGTTTAATCAATAATAAAAAATGTTTGCTGGTATCAGGCTGAATTGCAGGGTAATGGAAAGTTACTAGCAGGCTGAATTGCAGGGTAATGGAAAGGTACAGCATTTATGAATCAGAGAAACACGGTTTGGTAATATTCTGAAGTGAAAATGATCATGACTCAGGGCTCTACTTTGTTTTTTCCCATATGGACACTTGCTTGACAAGTATGAACACTCTTGCTTTGGCTAATGAGGATTGTGCTCCAGAACTAAATCATTGTTTGGGTGCATGTGGCCCCTGAACTAAAATCAGTTTGACCCCCCTGTTCTTAACACACAATTGAACACTTTTGAATATGTTTAAAGATTGGCAATTTCAACAAAATGCTAAAAACTGAGAAACAGAAGTTTCAAACCCTCTTCAAATAAAACCAAAACACTTTTTGTTTGGGTTTACCTTGCCTTACCCAAACACTGTGATCAAATTGGAGAAAGGAAACCTATAGCTCTAACTAGTTACACAACTAAAGCGTCATCCTTTCAGTGGGAGTCAAACAGCAGCTGGCTGCCGACCACACCTCCTCCACCTGCTGCTCAATAAAAGAAGCAGGCTCCCCCTCACTGTCTGTGTTTCAGAGTATTTATAGAAAAACAGAAAAAAGATTACAACTGTTTTTTTTGTTTCTAATATCAGAGTACTATAAAAGGAGTGAACATAGGTCTGAACTAAATAGCTCTTTGAGGAACTGACATTCATTTGTACTGACATGGATTTCCTACAGCAAGGTAGGATACATTTTAATGCCACTCTATTTGATACACATTAAGTGAAGATGTGAACTAGACGTGATATGTATACAGTAAAGTGTATTGTTGCAGCTCTTCTGTTTGAATGTTTTCATCAGCAAACAGACCTGGATATGATAAGGCATTCATGTAAAGTGTATATCATATGTTAATTCAAATTAAGCGTGAGAGTTGAAGCTACATTTTAATTAGAGAAACAAAACATAGGGGGAAATAAGGCAATGTAATCAATCATAAAAAACGTATAGTGGCATCCTTAATGACAGGCTAGAAAGAGCTACAGCATTTAGTGTAACACTGTGTGCTGATCTGCAAACAAGGCAACAGCTATACTGTATCTGAGATGTGTTAGCAACATTCCACTTTTTTTCATGCCATTCCTTGAATGATATAACGGAGACAAATAACGAACCATCTTCTAAACAGCAACACTACTGGACATTAGTGTGATGATTATGATTACAATTACAACCTCTCATATCTAATTATAAAACGGACAAGTCAAATCAAGCAATGTGATTGGTTCTTAGCACTGAACTGTAGTTACTTTCACAACAAGTCAGTATCCCTCCGCGTCTGAGAAAAACAGTATACCGTTGGGCTGAAAAGCAAACTGCCTGCAGTTTACTTTTCAAACTGGAACAAGAAAGCAGCGGAGAAGTAACGGGGCAGAAACCCTCCTTTTTACGCAGCGGTCCAGACAGAGACATCAAACGGCAAAACATATTCAGTGTGCAGTTCCTTTGGCATTGGGGCAGGGATGTCTAAATACTTTCCAAGGTTTGACATCATTAATTGTGCTACTTTTAAAGCAAGCAACGATGTTTTCAAATCTGTAATCAAAGAGGTCCGCAAAAAAGCTATCAACCAATCAGAT